ATATATATATATATACACACACACACGTTTGTGTGTGCTGTATATGTATTCATATACACAATAAAGCCCATAGGGGGCACTGTTACAGATACTTTCTAGACGTAACCAAACACCTCACAGGGTTGGTTTACTGGGTTTGAAGGCTTAGGACCATAATCTCGTGGGACAACTTGGTCAACTGGTATAACATAGTTCATAAATATAATGTTCTACATCCTAGTTTGGTGAGTAGTGTCTAGGGTCTTGAAAGTTTGTGAGTGGCCATCTAAGATACAACTATTGGTCTGTACTTGTCTGGAACAAAAGAGAAAGAAGGAAACCAAAGACTCAAAGAAACTAGTCTACAGGACTAATAACCCACACAAACTACAGCTTCATCTATCCTGAGATCAGAAGAACTAGATGGTGCCCAGCTACCACTACCAACTGTTCTGACTGGGGACACAATAGATGGTCTTAGATAGAATGTGAGAAAAATGTAGAACAAAACTTAAATTCCTAAAAAAGTCCAGATTTACTGAACCGGTAGAGACCAGAGGAACCCCTGAGACTATTATCCTGAGATACCCTGTAAATTTGGAGCTGAAGCCACTCCCAAAGGTCATCTTTCAGCCAAATAACAGAGTGGCTCATAAAACAAACAATATTGCCCTTCAGTACTGTGTTCCTTTAAATAATCATCTATATGAGACTAAACAGTCAACATTTACCCTAAAGCAAAGACGAGAAGTTAAAGGGGATAGGGGGAACAGGGAAGCTAGATTAATGGAAGTAGAACAACCAGAATGGAAATAATAAGAATGCTGACACATAGTGAAAAATGTAACCAATGTCACTGAACAATACGTATAGAAATTGTTAAATGGGAACATAATTTGCTGTGTAAACTTTCACCAATAACACAAAAAAATTTATAAAAAAAGAAAGAGTTCTAGACTAGCTGTTCTCTGGGGGAGTGAAGAGTTACTTTACTCAAAGAATTTGGTCTTTGTCCTTGGTTCCTGGACAACCCTTGGAATGTCCTCAGTGATTGAAATGTCTTTGTTATTCATGGAGGACTTCAGATCACACTTGACAGTTTATGCTAATGAGGTGATCATGTTGGGTGGGGGCTGGCCATGCCAGAAAGACCCACCACATGGTATCAGTCTAACCTCCAGGAAGGAAGAAGCAGACAGGAGATTGAGTTCAACCATGTGGGCAATGATTCAAACAATCATATCTACTAAATAAACTCCAGTAAAAACTCTGGACACTGAAGCTCAGGTGAGTTCCTGGTTGGTAATAGATATCAATGCACAAGAGGTTAATGCATCTCTTGGGACATGAAACCTCCATGTTGGGGACCCTTCCAAGTGGTAGCAGCTACTACCATTAACATGACCACACCCACAATGATTGCTATTTTTACAGGTGCTGACATTGATGACTGCTGGGCAGCAGCAAATAAAACTTCAGAAGAACCTACAGGATTTGTACCTACATAGCTTTCTAAACTCATCTGTGCTGTCCTCCCAATTGCTTACTAAGCTCCAGCCACAAAGCTCTTTCTTGCCTTACCTGCTGCCATCAAGTCAATTCTGACTCATAGCAATCCTTAAAAAAATAACTACACCTGTTGCCATCGAGTCAATGCCAACTCATAGCAACTCTTATGTCACCAAATTCTGTTTCCTCTTCATGAAAGGCTCTTATCCTCCACTTGCCATAGCTTGCTTCTTCTTATCCCTCAGGGCCCATTAGAAATGTCACCTCCTTAGGGAGGTCTTCTCCAACCCATCCTATCTAAATTGGTTCTCTCTTTTTATTCTGTATCAGAACCTTGTTTTCCTCATAGAACAATCACAAGTCATAATTATGGTATGTGTTGGTTTACATGTTTATCAACTGTCTCCCCACTAGACTTTAAGCTCCATGATGCAGGGACCACCTGACTCTTGATCATATTTTCCTTAGTGTCTCACACAGTGACTTGTGTATAGTAGCATTTAATAAATACTTTTTGAATAAATTACCAAATAGAAGGTATAATAAAAAAGACACCAGACTCAGATAGGTAGATGAGGTCTTACTACTGTTAATGGTGGTGCCACAAAGACACATTCTCTGTATGACTGTAGTGAGTAAAAGAAATGATCTTTGTCACACTGAATCAAGGAAAAAAAAAACATAATTTGGCTATAATGTTTGGCAATTTCAACATGAGAAGCTCCCTAAACACCAGAGTAAGTTTTCCCCTAGGGCTTTTAGAATTTTGTAATTTTAGAACATGTTATATAAGTAGAATAACTATCACCTGAAAAGCAATAAAACCAAACCATAAAATAAAAATGTTTAATTCCCTTTTGAATGTGTGTTGAATTCAATACAAATTGATAAAGCATGTTTCTAGGTCAAAAGGGACCAATGTTACATTCAGAAGACAACTGATGTGCATAAAAATATAATCTACACTATATTTTTAAAAAGAAATTTAAGATCTTATTCTACGTTTAATGTGTTGCAATAATGTCTTCTTTACAGCCCGAGACACCAGAACAAAGTAATGGCACAATAAAGGAATATTTGTTTTTTGTTTTTTCCTCTTTGTATTATCTTTATATACCAGTAAAAAATAAACTCTTTAATAAATAAATATATAAAATAAATATTTGCAAATCGAAAATGTATAAATAAGTCCGTCCTTTAAAAAAAAGTTCCATCTTGGTGTGGCTTGTCTTATAGTCCAAGGTTCACTCAGGTTTTTAATGTGTAATGCCATAACCTTCAAAAGTCCTACAGGGTCTTCAGAATTTACGTAGTAATAATCTCAGTCATTTAAGTCAATCCATCTCTTCAACACGAAGTATCTATTTTTAACGTAACTCTTAAAGTAAACATCATCCAGAGAGGTGAGGCGCCAGCCGCTAGCTAAGTGATATTCCCTTTATTTGCAGTTAAGGAGATTTTCAGCTTCAATCAACTAGGAATATCTAAGGGAACTTCATCCACTTATAAAGAGTGATCTTGATCTACTTCGAGTAGAAAAAAATTGCTTGTTGTAGTTTTTACTCAGTATTCTTTCCAAATTCAGTCTCTCAGTGGAAAATAGACTCCATAACATTCTGAATGTCTTCCTGGGTTATTACTTTTGCCATGGAAATTGTGATAAGAAAGAATGGTTGTGCTTTGGTGTTCCTGTAAAGACATTATCACATTTCAACTGTATATCAGTAGGTCCTTGTACAATTCTGGGACTCTTTCTGGATCTACAGGTCTAGGAAGGAAATGTGTAAATTTCTGATGTCTTTTGGACCTGGAACCATCTCTTGGAGTTCCATCTTTGTTAAGCGCCACAAAATACCTGCGGCCAGTGTCTCCATGTTTATAGATGTTGGATGAATAGGTATTATACCAGTTCTCTTCAAATTGCTCCCTAAAAATGCATTCAGAAGTCAGTTTCTCCTAAAAGAGAGAAGATAATTACCATTAAAAAGTACTTGTAAGAGAATTTCTTTAGAATAGTCTAAACTCTATTATGTCTTTGCTTATAATAATATCCTTGTTAAAGAAGGATAAATGTTAAATTGTTTTTGCTTTGTTTTGTTTTAGTTATGTTACCTGGAATTCTTCCTAGCAGGTACTTCATACAGTAGTTTAAAGAACTTGAAGTCAAATGTCAATTCCCAATTTTATTTTCAAATATTTAATGAGTATCCTGAACTTTCCCATGCTCCATTTTATCTTTCTCCTACCACCATCACCAACAAAACGTTTATCTTGTTGCATCAATAGATGTCAAAGTTCTACACGTCATCTCTCTACTGTCACCTTGGAACATTTCAGGACCTTGCTAAGATCCAAATTCCTAATTCAGAATCATCACTTCAAATTATATATCTTTCCTTTATGAATTTATTGTTTGATGATACATTTCCCATGATTAATTTTTATCTGGACCTGCTACTACTAAGGTAAATGTAGTAAAACCTCAATGATTTGTCTTTCCAAGATGGAATATATATTATCTTAAGGAATAGACCAGAGTTGCTTTTTTTATTCTAACACATACATGAATAAGGAAGATTATATATGTTTTTCATTGTAATTCTACTCTTATGATTATCGTATTTTTACACAAATAACCTACGCCTTCTAGTTTGTCAACCACACCTTCCTCCTGCAAGGTATTTCCATAAGCACCACTATGCCAATTTTTTTTTACAGCAAAATGTAAAAAAAAAAAAAAAATTGGCATAGTGGAGCTAACAAAAATACCTCATGCAGGGGAGAGCTTGGTTAGCAAACACATGTAGAAAGTATGTGTTATTTGTGTACAAATACGATATTATACACTATATCATTTCTCTTTATTCTGAGCTGACAGAAAGCCTGGAAAGGACAAGTTTTGCCCTTAGAAAGGACAGATGTTTGTCTACCTGTTACTTCTTGCCACCATGTCAACTCTGACTCATAGTGCTCCCACAGGACAGAGTAGAACTGTCTCACAGGGTTTCCAACTATAATCTTTATAGAGGGAGCCCTGGGGCACAGTGGTTAAACTTCTCAGCTGTTCACCCAAAGGCTGACAGTTTGAAACCACCAGTCGCTCCATAAGAGAAAGACGTGGCAGTCTGCTTCCGTAAAGATCACAGCCGTGGAAACCCTGTGGGGCAGTTCTGCTCTGTCCTATATGGTCACCATGAGTCAGAATCACCTTGATGGCAATGGGTTTTCTTGGGAATCTTTATGGAAGCAGACCGTCACATCTTTCTCCCGTGGAGCCGCTGATGGATTTGCACTGCCCACCTTTCAGTTAACAGCAGAGTGCTTTAACCACTGCACCACCAGGGCTCCTTGATGTTAGTCTACATACCACAATATTATGATCAATTTTTCCCAGTGTAGATTGAGATTCTAACTTTGTATTGTGGTCTCAATTGAAATTTTTAAAAAAATAAACAACCAGATAGTGCCGTCTGCTGAATCATAAAAAGAAAATTCTCTGCGGAAATAGTTATAGGGACTTTGGCTATAACAAGGGATTTGACGTGGGAGGACGGGTAAGACAATGGCACACACTTACACCTTCTCAGTTTTCTTAAAACTAGATAAGCAACCATGAACAAACGCAAAATGTTCATAGTGAAACAGAATAATCTATACTGTACTGCTTTTGAGTTTTATAGTATCCTGTTACTCTCTAATTCTTCTGTTGTTCTTGAAAAAATATTCTTCTCATATTGATGAAATATTAACCTGAGAAGTTTGCTTTCAACCACACACCTAGAACATTTATAGCAGACCTACAGGTGTGCTCTCATCCTCAGTGGCAAGTTAAAAATCGCCCATTGCCAGTTACTCGGGGCTACTATAATGATCAGGACACAGATACGGTGGACTGGGGGTGTTGCCATTTTCCACCATTCTTTACAGTATCCTCAGGTTTTAGCCACTCCTCTCCTATGCAGGAAAATCAGCAAGTAAATTACTATATATATATAGTTGGCTATGGGAGATAATTCTGGTTAGAGAATATTTGCATTAAGTGAATGTAAACGTGAAAAGAATCTGACTTGGCAAGGAAAAAATATTCTCATTTTTCTCGGTCACTGCTTGGAATGATCAAAATATGAAGTAAACTAGAAAGACTCAGAATACTGGGTAGGAAGAAATTAGAGAGCTAAAGGCAGTACTGGTAATAGTTTGGGGTTAAAGAAATGAAAGTGAGTTATTATACTCTTGCCCAGACACATGGAAATTCAGCAGGCTATAGATTTCTAATTTCTACATAAGTATATCTTAAATGTTTCTTCTAGCATGCATTGTTGGTAAATATTTTTAATATAAATTGATAGACATTTTAAAAATTACAATAATTTAAAAAAATACATACTGATCCATATAGTTCTCCTTTGTCATTCATTCCAAGGTAAAGACCACTGTCCACACCTCTAATACTGACCAGTCCCACTGCCACACTGATGAATTCCAGGATACCTGAATTCAGGAAACAAAATAATGATTTGTATTTATTAATGAGCATATGACTAATAAAAATCTTCCAAACAACAGTAGTAGCAGACCCATATTGCTAAATATAATGATGCCTGTGAAAGTCTTTTGTAAACTGAAAAGTGCTATTACAATTGTTTTATCATTATGATCCTCTCATTTTACAGATCGGTTTAAAAAAAAAGGAAAAAATTGTTCATCATGGTATAATGTTAAAGGTATGAAACCTTATAGCAGATTGACCTGGATTTGTATTCCAGTCAAGCATTTTACTAGCTAGGCTGACTAGGCAAGTCATTGTCTTCTTTAAGCTTCAATTTCCTCATATTCAAAAACAGGTGAAATGCCTCCCTGCAAGGGATTGGTTAGGACAGACATATACCAGACAGTCAACAAATGGAAGCTATTATTATCATCAATTAGCAATATTAGAGGTGTCCTTAGCCCCCCAAAAACCAAACTTGTTGCTGTCGAGTCAATTCTAACTCATAACAACCCTGTAGGACAGAGTAGAACTGCCCCACAGGGTTTCCAAGGCTGTAATCTTTACAGCAGACTGCCACATCTTTCTCCCTCAGAGCGGCCAGTGGATTCACACTGCTGACCTTTCGGTTAGCAGCCGTAGCTCTTAACCACTGCACCACCAGGGCTCCCAAGACGTCATAGATTTTATATTATGCTATGTTTCCTGGCATATATAACTTTAAAATAAATTGTATAGTTCAGAGAAGTAAAATGGATTTTATAATTCATTAAAAATGATAGCCAAATATCAAGAATTTAGCATACAAGCAAATTTTTCTATCAATACCTTCCTGAAATACTTTTCATTTATTAATAAGTAACCCAATATCAAAAACTGTCCACTTAATACACGGATATAGTATCGTTGAAAAAAAGAAAACCCTCAAGGCCTCCCTCTGTGTTACCCTCAATGCCTCCGTGTGACCCTCAGTGCCTCCCTCTGTGTGACCCTCAGTGCCTCCCTCTGTGTGACCCTAAGGCCCTCCTCTGTGTGACCCTTTCTCTCTGTATACGCTAACCTCTGGACTAATGCTTTTGTCTACTTCTTCCCCCAGACTCTCTGCTGCAGAAGTACAGACATACTTTCTATGCTTGCAACTGCCTTCCTCAGTAGCTTTCTGCCTTCACCTCTGCACCCCGTAAGCCCTACAAACAGTAAAAAATGTATCCATTTCACATCATTTAGCCTAACTCTTGCTCTTAAGTCATTTCTTGATTTATTAGACAAGTTCCTGTTTGGCCACGTGATGTTGCCAAGGACAAGCAAAGTACAGAGCCTGGCTATCTGCTTATACGGAAGACTCTATTCTGTCCAGAGCCTAATTCACTCTGGCAGAAACAGATGTAGGGAGACAAATGAGCTTTTCAAACTATTAGGAGATCATGTAGAACACTGGCACTATCTATCCAGGGTCTTACAGCAAAGATACAGGACTACAGGGATCACCTGCTTTTCAAAAGTTCACTTTACGCCACTTCGCCTTTACAAAAGACCTACATTAGTACCTGTTTTTACTAAACGAAAGAAATCCGAAGAGAATTTTTGCTCTTACAAAAAAAAAAAAGGTGAAAAGCGGAAACAGCATTCAGCGTTTGTTTTGCAGTAAGCCGTTAAAGAGGCAGCATGCACCCCGAGCAGCAAGAGTGGCATCGCTGTACATACATTATTCCTACTTAATATGTTGCTGGTGTTAGGTGCCGGCAAGTCAGTTCTGACTCACAGCAACCCTGTGTACAACACAACAAAACACTGCCTGGTCCTGCGCCATCCTCACAATCCTTGCTATGCTTGAGCCCATCACTGCAGCCACTGTGTCAATCCATCTCGTTGAAGGTCTTCCTCTCTTTTGCTGGCCCTTCACTTTACCAAGTATGATGTCCTTCTCCAGGGACTAGTCCCTCCTGATAACATGTCCAAAGTATGTGAGATAAATCTTACCATTTTCGCTTCTAAGGAGCATTCTGGCTGTACTTCTTCCAAGACTGATTCGTTCATTCTTCTGAAGTCCATGGTATATTTGATATTCTTCACCAATACCAAATTCAAACCTATCAATTCTTCTTCGGTCTTCCTCACTCATTGTCCAGCTTTCGCATGCATATGAGGCAGCTGAAAATATCATGGCTTGGATCAAGTACACCTTAGTCCGTGAGGTGGTATCTTTGCTTTTTAACACTTTAAAGTGGTCTTTTGCAGCAGATTTGCCCAATGCAATATATCATTTGATTTCTTGACTACTGCTTCCATGGGCGTTGATTGTGGATCCAAGTACAATGAAATCCTTGACAACTTCAATCTCTTCTGTTTATATGATGTTGCTTACTGGTCCAGTTGTGAGGATTTTTGTTTTCTTTACGTTGAAGTGTAATCCATACTGAAGGCTGTAGTCTTTGATCTTCGTCAGTAAGCGGGACAAGTCCTCTTCACTTCCAGCAAGCAAGGTTGTGTCACCCGCATATCGCAGGTTGTTAATGAATCTTCCTCCAATCCTGATGCTGCGTTCTTCTTCATATAGTCCAGCTTCTCAGATTATCTGCTCAGCATACAGATTGAGTAAGTATGGTGAAAGCATACAACCCTGACAAACATCTTTGCTAATTTTAAACCATGCAGTATCGCCTTGCTCTGTTCAAATGACTGTCTCTTGGTCCATGAACAGGTTTCTCATGAGCACAATTAGGTGTTCTTGAATTCCCATTCTTCGCAATGTTATCCATAATTTTTTATAATCCACACAGCCTAATGCCTTTGCATAGTCAATAAAACACGGGTGAACATCTTTCTGATATTCTCTGCTTTCAGCCAAGATCCATCTGGCATCAGCAATGATATGCCTTGTTCCACGTCCTCTTCTGCATGTGGCTTGAATTTCTGGCAGTTCCCTGTCGATGTACTGCTGCAACCACTTTTGAATTATCTTCAGCAAATTTTTACTTATGTGTGATATTAACGATATTGTTCGATAATTTCCACATTCTGTTCAATCACCTTTCTTTGGAATGGACACAAATATGGATCTCTTCCAGTTGGTTGGCCAGGTAAGCTCTGTTCCAAATTTCCCGGTATAGCCATGTGAGCACCTCCGGTGCTGCATCCATTTGCTGAAACATCTCAATTGATATTCTATCAATTCCTGGAGCCTTGTTTTTCGCCAATGCCTTCCGTGCAGCTTTGACTCTTCCTCCATTACCATCAGTTCCTGATCATATACTACCTCCTGAAATGGCTGAATGTCGACCAATTATTTTTGGTATAGTGACTCTGTGTATACCTTCCATTTTCTTTTAATACTTCCTGCATAGTTCAATAATTTTTTCCATAGAATCCTTCAAGATTGCAACTTGGGGCTTGAATTTTTTCTTCAGTCTTTCAGCTTGAGAAATGTCGAGTGTGTTCTTCCCTTTTGATTTTCTAATTCCAAGTCTTTGCACATTTCATTATTAAACTTTACTTTGTCTTCTAGAGCCACGCTTTGAAATCTTCTGTTCAGCTCTTTTACTTCATCATTTCTTCTATTCGCTTTATCTGCTCTATGTTCAAGAGCAAGTTTCAGAGTCTCTTCTGACATGCAGTTTGGTCTTTTCTTGCTTTCTTGTCTTTGTAATGACCTTTTTCTCTCTTTATGTATGATGTCCTTGATGTCATCCCGCAACTCATCTGCTCTTTAATTATTAGTGTTTAACGCATCAAATCTATTCTTGAGATGGTCTCTAAATTCAGATATACTCAAGGTCATACTTGGGCTCTTGTGTATTTGTTTTAATTTTCTTCAGCATCATCTTGAACTTGTATATGAGCAATTGATGGTCTGTTCTGCAGTCAGCCTCTGGCCTTGTTCTAACTGATACTGAGCTGCTCCATCATCTCTTTCCATACTACTTTATATATGCTGTGTATTTATCATATAATTCCTGCTTTTACTAATATTAGTGTTATCTTAGATTTTACGTGTTATTTGGTATGATTTGGTAGGTTGTTTTTTGGATCTGGGAACACTCGAATTTTTTTCCCATATAAATTAATGGTAATTGCTTTTTCACTTTATGCCATTTTGGCTTATGAAAAGTTTCATAGGAACACACTACTTTCAGATAGCAGGGGAAACCTATAAATAGTTTATAAGCGGCTTGAAAGAGTCAGCCTCCTTAACTGAGAAGATAAGATATAGCAGAGAAGACCCAAACTCCATAGCACAGCCATCATGATGGCAAGAATAGAGGTGAAGAGTAAACAAGAATTCAACTCCCTTCCAAGCTCATTAGTGAGTGATTCCCGATAGAAACAAACACATAGGCCCCAAATACGATTGGCAGAAAAAACGTATCAATGGAATTTCATCCAGGATATAAACGTGTGACGACTGCAGGTTGTGCTGAATGTGACATCCCAATTGACAAGTATACACTATAGCTGACACGTAACTGAAGCCCCTTTAAGTATCTGATTTACATTAAGATGCTCTGGACTTTCAAAGAACAAGAACCGATTAACTGATGAGAATGTATAATAGAATGAGTTTTCAAGAACAGTAAAATAAAAGCTTAATTTCCATAGAAGTTAATTATACAACAGATCTCATGAAGTAACCATTTTTCTTGGAAAACTAAATGATAAACCACCCATACTTCAATTTTCATCTTAAAATAATGGTGTCATTTTGTCAAAAGTTATGTAGTTTTAGAAAGTAAAAAAGATTAAACACATTCTTAGAATAATTATATTCAATAACTTCAACCTTATTAAACAACATCTAAAACCCGATACACAACCAGGCGTAAATAATTTTTCAGTGGCTCGTGAGGGCTGATGGGAAAAAGTTATGTGTTTTTTGTCTTCTTCTTAAAGATTTTAGCCACACTTTTTAATTCGGATCCTTTTTCTCCTCATGGAAATAGTATACCACATAGTAATTTGTAATCATTTGATTCTTAAATGAGATTTGACAAGTCTTTCTTATTCATAAGATGAGGTGGCAACTAACTAATTCCTTTACAAAGAGTAGACATAAAAAACTTTCCTTAAGAGGTAATCACCAATTTTAGATAGATTTTCTAATGCCCAGTGTCCCATAAAAAGACCTGGAGGTACTTTGTCTTTCTGGTATCATTTTCAAAGCCAGCCTTTTTAAAAATCATAATAAACAGGTGAGTCAACCCACAATGCAACCACATCAGACAAATCTCTGGAGAAAGGGGGAGAATAAAGGCAAAGCCTTTAAAGGAATATGTTTGATCTCCAGCTACACTTTTTTTTAAAGTAATGATTCCATGTTTACATATTAGGTAAATTCTTACTTCTATATACTACTACGCCGAAAAACTCTATTCATAAATACAAAGCTAACTCAGATAAGAAATTATATTTTAACTTCACTGAAACCTTTTTGTTTATAATCTACTGGTATGGTTTTAAAGTTTAAAAATACAGTATTCTGAATGTGTTTATTCAATCATGGCCAAATTAGTATAAAATTATCAAAAATGTTATTTACTTTAACATCTCAAATAGCCATTCTTGAACTTTCTCAAAGTTTACTTTCATGACACAGACACCAGTTTAAAAGAAAAACAGCAATATAATTTCATAATTAATGATCGCTGTGCTAGCAACAGGAGGCAAACAGAGAGAGAGCATGTGTCCTACAGGTTGGCTATCAACTTGCTTCTCACACTGTAGTAAATTACAACGTCTAAGCTAGCAAATACCACTAGGATGCACTGTAGTGCGTTGCAAAGAGACTCTTCACTCCTTAAGACTATCAGACGGATAAGGAGCTATCTTGCCCTTGTTTAACAGTGACAGTTTTGTTCAGATACGTAACCTCCCACCATAGAGTGACTTAAAGCAGCATAAAATCAGTCTAGGTCACATGTTTCCAACTGCCAAATACTGATACAAATTTTTTGCAAAAATTGTGCTGGCAAGATGGTAATTCTGATGCACAGTATCTGAATACCAAGTAAAAGAACGTTATTAAATGTACAGGTATTCACTAATCTCTTCCCATAGGGTCAGTCTTATAGAAAGGCTCAAAGCTGAAGAAACAATTGGTGTCACTGGAAAGATTACAGCTGAATTACAAGGGTCTTAAAAACAGAATTTCCAGTGCTATACCGTGTGTTATGGAGGGGGTCAGTACCTGAATATCACCTAAGCTTAACCTCTACCTGCTCTATCTATAGGCATTATCACACACGTGTCCATTCCTAAACCTTTCTGGGAGCTGTAGGGGTTTTTTTTTTTTTCTGTAGTAAGTGGAGTACATTCTTACAGGCACGAGAACTGAGCCACCTGGTGTCAGCAAAGTTCTTTAGAATCAGAATCTCAGACTCCTCAATTTAAAAAACCGCTTTCCCAAAGTGACCCCAGGCTGGCCGCTAGGTCATGACACTCTCAGCTCATACTCAATGGGAGCTTGGAAGAGGTCAGTGGAAGCGGCAAACACATGGGTTGAAAAACGTTAATTTTCTAAGCCTTTAAGTGCTGCCGAATGACCACCACATGGTCATTTCTACATCTAGAGTTTACAATGTCCTTCAAACTGAGATTTATACTTCGCCAAAGTTTTAATGAGTCTTACAAGTGGACAAAAAGGAACAGAAGTAGAGGAACAAGGGGCGAGGACAAGATAAGAGGGCCTTTCAGAGCTGCGATTCTCCAGGAATTCCAGAGCGCTAAGGAAGGAAGAGAAACGAAAGTGAACACTGTTGGCCCCTTTCTCATTGCTGCTGACAAGCAAACGTTATCTTTCTTTAAATACAATGTATGTCTCCAATGACGTCACAAGGTTTCAGGATAAAATCACTCGAGAGGGTTATCAGGTTAATACTGTCTCTCTCCGCGGAAGAGCCTAGGATGTTAGAAGGCAAAGCAACCTCAAGTGATCACCTAATTGTACAGACAAGAAAACTGAGACTCACATTGGTGAGGGGTTTGCTAGTTACAATGGCTAGTTGGGAAATAAGAAACAGCAAAGGCCTTACGATTTTCCAGTCCGCTGTCTGAAGTGGACACTGCCTTAAGGATCCTTCCTTTCTTTCTTTCTTTTAACCCCTTCTGCTCTCAGGCACTGCCTGAGGGACTCTGAAGCGCGCTCCTCTGTGTTCCCACCCATATCTTCTTTCACTTCCCCGTTTCCTCCTACCTGTGGTCAATACCAACATCGCGGCTTCCAGCTTTCACAGCTTCTAAAGAGGATCTTGGCCAGAAGGACTGAGCATGCTCGGTATTTTATTTATTTATTTTTCTTTCTTTCTCTTTATCACCCAAATACAACTCTAGGTTCGCAAAGAACTGCCGCCAGGTAAAGCTGACGGTATCGACGGTACCCACGGAGGGTTAATTTGTCACCACCGCAGGTGAACGTTTACAGTTCTCTAAGTAGACACTGTTGGCGCCGTGGTTGAGAGCTACAGCTGCTAACCAAAAGGTCAGCAGTTCGAATCCACCAGCTGCTCCTTGGAAACCCTATGGGGCAGTTCTACTCTGTCCTCTAGGGTCGCTGTGAGTCGGAGTGACCGCAATAAGTAGACACGTAAACGCTGGCACCCGGTGAAAGAGCGACCCCTGAGCATTAGTCGCGGGTGGAGAATCAACTCCATAACCGTGGGGAATGTCTAAAGGAGCGGGGTGCTTCCCGGGGTGAAGTTTTGTAAAGTGGACGGCACTGCGGGAAACGCGCGAGAAAGTAGGAGAAACACAAGCGTTTAAAAAACAAAAGCCCGCCCGCAGGTGAGGCGCGAGGGCAGGCGGTGATTCCTGGACGGGGTCTGGGTGTCCCAGGCGCAGGAAGGGAAGGGCTCTGGGGAGCAGGGCCCGCCCGCGCGCCCACCCTTTCTCCTCCCACCCCCGGACCCGCTGGCGACGGCGGCGGCCAGCGGGCAGGAACGTCCTCGGTGCCCCGGAGCCGCCCGCCCGGCAGCCCCAGCCCTGTCTCGCGCCCCGTGGGTGCC